ACATCCACCATCACCACAAATCCGACAAGAACCCACCACTCACTTCTATCCATCTCCATCTCCATCTCCTCCCGAGTCGAACAACCAGCATCATGGTAACATCGAAAACCATGTCGACCGCTACGAGAGAGCCACCTCATTATCAGGAACCATCAACATCACCGTCGAATCCCCTTCCTCTTCCTCCCACGACGAGGTTAACTCGAAATCCACTTGGTCGAGATCTTATCATGACTAATCAAGGGATATAATGTCTGATGAGTTGTTCGACTGATTGATAGTTCTATCATGGTCCAGTTGAGTCTCCGATGGCGTTATTAGGTGGCTATGCGGATTCTTGATGATTGAGATATACGTAGTATCTTTTTTAAGAAAAATTACCGTTCTGTTTGCTACGCTACTGCGTGTATATTGATAAATAGACTTTATAGCCCAGAAATGCAGCAATCTCTATTACATGTCAAGTATAGAGGCAGTGGTGGAGAGAGATATATTAATGAAAATCATATTCTATGACCTCTTTTATTCCTCTCTAGTACTAGATATATGCCCAGTCATCCTTCCTCCGGTGTAGTCTAGAACTTGATGGCCGCATAATTTGGATCTACTATTACTCTGTTATAAGAAATGAATGGAACCTCCTGTTAGAATTATTCTTCTGTTTCAGCCAGGTTGAAGATCATTATACCACAGCCTGGTCATTGGATCTAGTATCTAGTACTTACTATTAGCATTCATCGCTATTGTTCTTCACTAGAATCAAGTACTAGTTGTCCTTTCTATGGTTCCTTCTGCTATGTATATTATACTGTGAAGTTCGGTTTGTAGTAGGGTAAGTATCTACTAGATTATTTGTTTCTGGATAAATATGAATGAACGAGGGCTATGCTGTGCTATGCTGTGCTGCATTGTAGAGGGCTCTGTGTAATGCTATGGATTGTTTGGTACATAGTAGTAAATAGAGGGTTTAATCTGTGTTAGGATGGGTTGGGTATGTGTGTAACCGGGGTCAGGTAGTGGTCAACCCCCCTTCGGTCGAGTCACCGGGTTCTGCTAATTAGTATAGTAGTTATACTATAATAATTCAGTTGGTATTAATGAGCTGGTTATCGAGGGTAGTCAACTACAGGCATGAGGTGATAATCGATATCGACTGTAGCAGATAATGCACTGGAGTATATTACTATCGTAGTTTCACTCGGACTAGCATCTGCAGGTGGAGCTATGGCAAAGCAAAGTGTCCTGCTGATGACATGCAGAAGGCCCATTCCTTGTCTGGAGGGACTTGGCTGGGCTTGGCGTGATGCAGCTTGGTCTGCCTGTTCTTGATTCGAACGTTACTACTCGACTGCTAGTGTAAGTTGATTCCCCTACATGTCTCCGGTCCTTGTTAGTGCAAAGAGACGAAGGTGACGCTGCATGCAAACGGGAAAGCTTGAATTGAGCCGACCCGTGTTTAGGTCGATTCCTATGGCAGCAGCGGGGCGGGTTATAGCAGGAGGAGCTTGATATTAACAGATGATGGCTGCATATTTACGTACTAGAAGATGTTCGTTCGTGAGGATTGAGGTTTGGACTGGACGGCTATGCATGGTTTCCGAAGTGATGGTCATGGGTAGGAGATCTGGGGTTTGTAATGGTTGGTTTTCTGGTTCGAGTCAGTGTTCTTTCTACATTATCTACTTGCTCTCTTCGGGTATAGAGTACGTACTTTTTGCCACTTTGAAGGAATTGAATTGTAAGCGAGTGGCAGAGAGCCTCGGTAGGGGTGGGGATGGATATGGGAGATGCTTTGGTTAGCTTCGAACCTTGTTGATATGTATGTAGTATGCATCGAAACAATTCATCTCCACTGATAGCACGCAAGTAAGTAAGTTTGCCATCCTACGAAAGATGATGCATCTGGCCCCAGTATGGATGAAGGTTGGCCCCGGAAGGCAGAGGAAGGAAGTGAATCCATTGAATACTGACTGAACGGTAAAGTTACGGTCGGCATGACGCACGGTCCCTGATCGACCCTAGCGCCCGCGCTCGTGACCTCCCAGTCCGACTGGGTCATCTGCCCTTTGCTTTTCCCCCTCCGCCACTCTCCGTGCCTCGTGCCCCCAACAAACACTGGAAGCCACAGGAATGATGACAGTTCCTGAGCAATGACCGTTCAGTCTCAGCAGTCTCAGCACGGGAAGGACTGAATTCCTGGAGTCGATCCATGGTCGGCTACAAGCCCTCGTTCAATGCGCATTATCAAATGTAACCGTTGTGGTCGGAGATGACTGGACTCCGGCCTGGGATTGTTCCGATTGCATTCTGCATGACTGGCGTAACCCTACCGAATGAGTCAAGAAAGATAAACAAAAGTATACCAGTTTGTTGCCTCGTTCTGCTGATGATCACGCAGGAGTTCCTGGACACAACAGCAACAGGGCCCCTAACTATCTCCACTGCTTGCTTACTGGCGCTGGATGTGCTCGAGCTCTCCGGCCAGTCGTTTCCCAGATAGACGAACTCAACATGGAGCTTTCCAGGGAAAAAGCTTTCGCCCCGGTTGCACAAAGCCTAAATATAACAGCAATTGCAGACCGGGACCTCCCTTCCTCTGAGGCTGTTGTCTGTTTTGCTGTTGGTTAATGGCTGCCTCGTTGGGGGTTTCATCTGGGGAGGCTTGCGCTTACTTCGTGCAGACGGGAGTATGCATCAACACTCACTGGTATCTGGGAGGGAAAACACCATCAATGTTTTCTGTAGGAATGAGATATTCCACAAGCCTGATCGCCACGGGAATATGACCACATCCCCATTCATCTGGGGGAGTCATTCGAAGGTACCTCAACAGCCTTGAGCATGAGATGATTCGTCACCGGGCCAGATACCAGGCAGTGACAATACCTGACGGGACAGGACAGACTTTGGCTCGAGGCAATCAAAAGCGAGGAGAAGCGCCTGTCTGGTGATTGGTCCTGAACGGGAATGGCGCCAGATGCCATCAGAGACCCTTGCCCAATCAGGAAACTCTGCCTGTTTCTCTCCCTTCGAGTCACTATCGTAGAGCTGCCGGAATAGTCTTGGGAAGAGATCTCATCAGCCTGGAGAAGACTACTAGATACTAGAGGCTAGATAGAGTACCACTGTGTATGCAGCAGGAAATCCATACTCCCCATCGGCAGTCCGGCTCAACGTTTGTCTGTATGTAATTCAAGTCTGGGGAGAACTGAGTGAATGACTGTCTGACCCGGTGGATCTTCCTCATCCCTCATCCAGAAAGCCTAGAAGGTACCAACCCCAAGTAGGTATATACATATACACAACAGATTCCTTTTGCTGCTCTCCTCTCTTTTCTTCTGCCCCTCTCCTGCCATTTTCTTCACCTCGCGCGCTCAAGTACGCTTGCACCCCCCTCTTCCATCTGACGAGTCATTCCCTCCGAATTTCGGCCCCTCCATCATCCTCATCCATCAAGCCACTCAAGGATTAGATAGGTGTCCCCCGCAGGGTTCTACCTTCTTCGACCGGGGAGGGGATCTTCCGGGCGATCCAGTTGTCCTTTTTAGTAAGTCCAAAGGAGTTGCGTGGTGGTCGACGGGGTTGGTCTTCTTGCAGACAGCCAGACAAAGGCTTGAACTCCCGTCTAACCTCGGAACAAAACGTGCAGCATTCGAACAGCTAGTACTAGTCTGCCTGGAACTGACCAAAGAGCAGAACCGAGATCCTTCATCCTCCGGCTGTCGCTGACGATTGGCAGCCCTGACGATAGCAGTTGGCCCGGTGTGCTTCATTATTCGTCCACGCCGCGCAGCCTTCTTCAGTTCTGTCTCTCTCTCTCTGCCAGGTTTGGCACCGCGTATCCGCAGCGCATCTACTACCGACACCCACTAGGAAACCAGCCTATTCGGGTAATTTTCATGTGCTTTTATTCCAATTACTCTAAAGTCCGGCCAATCAATCCAGGGCCAACCAACTTCCCGCCATCCCCGGAAAGCAGCTTGATAGTTAATTTCAATTCAGCGCTGCCTTTGCTATCGCGCCTCGTGTGTGGTCTGCTGCTGTGCACACGCCGTTGCAGTCCAGTCCAGTCCAGAAGAATTTAGATTGAATCAGTCGGACATACAAAGAGGTTCGGGTTGCGGAACTCTATCACCGAGGCTGACTACCTTTCCGTATTTACTATCGCCTATTTTTGCTCTCGGCCCCAGCGGCGGCTGTCGCCGGCTCTCGATCCAAGGATTGCCCCGCTCTGGTTCTCAGTTCCAGCCAGCGAGGCAAATTATTGTGATTGAGATTATTGTTGTTGAGATATATTGCTTTTTTTTCGGGTGGATTTTAGGCTGCCTGAGCCGGACTAATATCAGGATTCCTCACTCTACGCAGGGCGCTCCGTAACATTCCCCTGCCGTTTCAGTTTTGCCGGTGATTGTTTCCACAGGCAAAATCGCTCATTGGAGGAACATATTACCTGAAGCTCTAATACTAGGACATTCCCCGGTCGGGATTCCATCATCCTAGGCTTAACCGCGCCATCGATCGCGATCTGTTCCACTGTGTACACAGTCCCGTTATCAGCAGCAGTAGCAGCAGCAGCAACACTCAGCCTTTCCTTTTGCTGCAGTTGCGTACTCGGGCCGCTTCTCAGTGCACTCCGATTCGTCTTCGTCGCGAGTATTTTCCGCGAGTCTGAAGGCTCTTTTTCTTGGTCTTTCTTGTTTTTGTTGCCTTTTACTTAGTTTTAAATTTCAGCAACACTGCAGCTGCCGAGCTGCCATCAAATCGGAGGATCGGGGCGCCAGACGTGCAGGGGTCCAGTCCAGTGTCGCCTGGACTATCTTCCGACTAAGTTGCTTGGTCCTCCGGACGTGCGTCCGCGCTACCCGGCCATCCACTATCCACATGCCGGCCGCATCGCGAAGCAGCAGCAGCAGCAGTAGTAGTATTTGGGATCAGCTAACGAGATCGAGCTTGGACTCGGGAGGTCTGGGAGTCAGTCCGTCGGTCTGTGAGTGAGTCGGTCAAAGGACGACGGGGTATTGATCGTCGTTGCTGCTGTGTGGAAGGTTCGTGAAGAATTCTGTAAGTGATTAGATCCTGGGGTTCTTGCGCTTCTTTATCTCCTATTATTGTTGTTTCTTTCCGTTGATCTCATCTATTATTTTTTTTTTTTTTTTTTTTTTTTTTTTTTTTTTTTTTTTTTTTTCTGTCTCATTCATCTTACGCGAATCTGCATCTGTTGTGTTTCGGCGGTCTTGCGGCGACGATCCCCGATTTGGACTGGGAACATATCGTGACCCGAGCAGAGGCAACCAATCAGAAGCTGCGTGGCGCCGCCTCCCGCCTTCTTTCCCCTCCCCAGTTTTGGATTTCCTATCGCCCGGTGTTTCCACTCCGGGATTATTGCCTGGCGCTGTTCCCCCTCACTTTCTTTGCTTTCTTGTGTTTCTCTCTCTCGCTCGCTCTTCGAATCGAAGACTCTCCCGTTCCTTTCACCAAATCCTTCCCTCCTCCACCCACCTTTCCTTTTCCTACACCCACTCCTACTCTCTCCACCCCCTCCCCTTCTCGAACTAAATCCTTCTTTCACTTTTCCTTTCATCATCATCATCATCATCAATCATCATCATCCCATCCCATCCGTCCTCTCCATCTCTTGTCACTGCTTTCTAATTTTCCTGGTGCGCCTCTCTCTCCCCCCTCCCCCCCTCCATTTCCCCTTGCCAGTCGTATCTCCAACTTTCTTCCCCACCCCACTGCTCTGCCCTGCCCTGTCCGTTGTGGTTCTAACCCAATCGACAACTGCGACCCGGTCTGGCACACGCACGCACAACCCCCCCTCTCACATTCACTCACATACTACTCACATACACACACACCTCATTACCCACGCACACACCACAGACTCACAGGCGGCCGGTCACACATAGCTTAACTCCCCCCGTCAACGGTCCCCAGTGATCGGTTCCATCGGCGGCACGCTGTGAATCATCCACTGCCCATCTCCCTGTCTCCGGCATAGTAACCGCCCGCTGCTAGTTCTCCTTAGTGGGTGACGCTGCTTTTCTGCAGACAGGGAACCTTGGGATACCCGATCGATCGTGGAGGGGACCAGAAAGGAGGAGGAGGAGGAGCAGTTCACAGCCTCATGTGGCGGCGTCGGTGGCCTTCCCTCACCAGCCACATTCACTCTTATCCATACAATCCCCCCATAACATTGTGCTTCCTCTGCAGCTTATCGGCTTGTACCTTGTTCGGCTTTGTGCCTGGTCTCACCGATTTGTTCTGAAGTGGTGACTGTGTTTGTTCACTTTTGTCGTTTCCCTGCTCTGGATTCGTCTAGATTTGTTCTTTTCCGACCGTGCGCTGCCTGTCTGTCTCCTGGTCATTCATTCATTCATCCATCTCCCATCAATTTCCATTATCCCCTCTCACCGCCTTCATGATCTGAACTTCGCTTCCCCCCAAACCATCACCACCCCAGTCTGCAAAGCACCGATTTGCTCAAACCTTTCCGCTGATCCGCTTCCTGCCACCTACCAGTCAAATTCCCACTGCATGCGAGCCGTGGTCCGTCCACCTTCATCTGTCCGAGGATCACTTGCATCGTCGCAGTTTCGCCCTCCTTCATCGCAATAGCCAACCAGGTCGCCATCTTCTTCCTTCCCCCCTCCCGTTTTGGCATCCTGATCTTCGCGTTTCTCTAACGCGCCCGCAACCTTGCGACGGTGCCCTCCACCATCACCACCACCCACCACACCACACCACCCTCTTTCCCGTCCTTCCTTGGCCCGCCATGTACAGCACTCCTCAATCCTCTGTTCCCGCTCCGATGAATGGCATCGGAGGGGAGCTCGTTGATGGGTCGGGGACAATCAATCCCGCTGCCTTGAACAATGGTATGTGACTGATTTGCTTTCCCTCCTTCCCTTCGTCGCTTCGTCGCTTCGTCTGTTCGTCTGCTCGCCTCTTTGTGTCCCCGCTCGCTTGCTTTGTGTTCAGTTCCTTTCCACTATCCCCCCCCCTCCCCCTTGTTTCGTTTCTTTCATTCTTTTTCTTTTTCCCTTTCCCACATTAGTTTTCCTATTCGCCGCCGCGCTTTTAACGGTGGACCTTGTCTGTCGCCGCTCATGGAGGCTCAAAAAATATCTTTCTATCTCTCTTGCTTGTCCATCGTGACAGCCTCCAAACTGACGGCCTTCTACTAGTCGCCGTAGTGCTTCCTACCCCAACAACATATGGTGGCATTGCGACCCCAACGAGTATAGCTCCTCGTGGTGTGAAGCGAAGTCGAACCCCAGACCAGCGCGGGAATGCACGCGCGGATGGAGACCATGACGACGGTATGTGTGCGTCGGAGTCCTCTTACGATTCGCTTCGTGGAATTCCGGAAGCGTGGGAGTTTCTTGGCATTCGCGTTCCCTCGCGCGTTGTTGTTGTTGCTATCTAAATGTCGCGCTTTTGCTTTTTGCTACCCTTCCGTCCACGTGCATGTATAACGTTGCCTGGCGATAAAGATGGCTGACGCGTGGACCACTTCGGTCAAAGCAACAGATGAACAGGGCCGTCGGAAACGAGGCCGTCCCCCAAAGACTCCGCGTCCGTCTGCGGCAACCCCCAGCGATCAGACTTCCAATGTTCACCTCCAGACGCCCCGGATGCAGACCCAGCCTCTGCCGGCGCAAGCTGCCGTCAATGTATCACCTCCGCAGGCTTCTCCCCCGGATAAAACGACGCCGACCAAGTCTACGCTCGTCAAGGCCCTACCCACCGTTAGGGATCATACGACAGACCAGCTAAATGAAGAAGGCGACGAATACATCCCCAAGGAATTCGATGACGCTGGTGAAAAGAAGGTTGATGCCATGGGCTACCCTCAAGGAGGCCGAGAGTACAAGTGTCGCACGTTCCGCGTTCCTCTGCGTGGGAATAAGCTTTTCATGCTTGCGACCGAATGCGCAAGGGTGCTGGGCTATCGCGACTCGTATCTCTTGTTCAACAAGAACCGGTCGCTGCACAAGATTATCGCGAGTCAGATCGAGAAGGATGATCTCATTCAGCAGGACATCCTGCCCTACTCGTATCGTTCGCGCCAGATTGCTATCGTGACGGCCAAGTCGATGTTCCGTCAGTTCGGCAGCCGCGTGATTGTCAATGGGCGACGCGTCCGCGACGACTACTGGGAGAGCAAAGCACGGAAACAAGGATTCACCGAGGATGATTTGGCTGGTGAGAAACGACCCGGCGGCGCGAAAGCCCGGGATGCGGCGGCAGCAGAAGCGGCGGGCGCAGCGAACTTTCTACCCACCCTAACCCATGGCGATGTCATCTACAGCAATGCGCTGGAATCGGTGCCTGGTAGCTTGCCTGTCGGCCCCCCATCCTCGGTTTCTCTTGCGCCACCGCTCCCTATGATCCATATGGCCACCACCACCGATGATCCCCGGCTGCGGGAGTATAACAGTATGCCTCGCCCGCGTCAGGAATTGACCGGCCAGCCTTTCCAGGATCGCATTCAGCCCAGCTCGGCCGCTGAAATACTTAACCAGGCTTCACACACGGCCGAGTTCAACAAGATTCTAACGTCACAACGGAGTTATCGCCAGAAGGGCCTGGACGACTTTTACGCAAAGCAACGGGAAGTACCCGTTTCTGCAGCACAGTCACAGCCTGGCCAATTGGATTCGACGCCATCCGTGTCACAGCCCTTGCAGTCCCCGCAGATGGCCTCCACGGGAATGATGAACGCGGCTCAGTCGCAGCAGCCCATGCTTTCCCATCAGGCACCGATTATGCCTGGCCAGACCGGTTTTCAGCCACCAGCGGCTCATCAGCAGCCGCCTGTTGCACAGTCCCCTGTTCGGGGTGTACCCCCGGTCCGGCCCGAGTTGATGCACCAAAGATCTAACCCTGCCATGGCTGCCGGGACGCCTCAGCCCCCTGGCCCTTATGGATATCCCTCCCAAGCGCAGCAGATGTGGGGTCAACCACCACCTCAGCCGCAACCATCTCCGCTCTCTGCCGCTGGACCTCAGGGCGTCGGCATGCCCCAGTTCCCGTCGCAGTTACATACGCAACAATCACCCTCGCCACTCGCACACTCCATGCCGCAGCAGCAACAGCAGCAGCAGCAACATTCGCAATCTCCTCGGAATCAGCCCCGACCTTCGGCGCCGCCAATGCCTCAGACTTTCCCCATGCATCCTCAGCAGGCGCCTCAACAGCAGCCCATGGCATCCATGGGATTCCCTGGTGTCACGGCTGCGCCGTATCAAGCAGTGACTGCCGCCAGAGGCATGTATCCTTCGACGCAGGGTCCTGGTGGTCAACAGTTTATGGCGGGCACTCCCCAGCAGCCTGGTTTGGCCATGGGAATGAGCGCCGGCGGTGCTATGCCGGGATGGCCTCCGGCTGGCCCCATGCAGCCCGGTCATCCGCAACCTGGCCAGTCTGGCACTCCTCTGGGATGGTCCGGTTACTAGAATGAAGCAAAGTGAGATGGCGATGGCCCGCATAATCCAAATTCGGCGTTTGCGGGGATCTGGTGATGTTGATCTACGGAAAAGAGACACGCCCGTTTTGACTTGTTATCTTCATTTCATCTTTCTTATACCGTGGATCCTGGATCCATTTGCTTTGAGAACGGTTACCTCGCATCTTCCCGTCATACCCTTTTCATTGATGCTGTATATTATCCTTGTCTCAAGGATGATGGCTAATGATAATCTGCACGCGTTTTCTTCTTATACCCTCTGTTATACCCGGTCAGTTATGTATGTCTTGTCGTTGATGTTTTCCGCCCTTGACTTGTTGTTTCGTCGGGAGGCTTTGAAGAATGTTGTTCGATGTGCAGTTACGAGTGTTGTTGCGATTGTGCATTTTTCATATGTCCATGATAGAGGGACGGTCAGATGGTATGGCGGTGAATGTTTCGTTTTGTTTGGGTCGGCGTATTACAACAGCCCATGTTTGCAGTTATCATTCTTCCGTGTCTTCTATTTTCAACGTCCTTGAGCATCGGGAATCTTTCTATTTGCACTTCCCTACTTTCTGCGACACCCCACTGCTGTTACATTTTGGGTACTCTTCACTATTACTCCTGGCTTCTACATTTCATTTTCTACACATGGAACCACACCCCTCTTGTCCAGTTGCTGCTATCGTGATACTCTCGATGCTGTCTTTATGCTCTTTATATGCAGATCAAACACGGTTGCACACTGGGGGCTCCTAATTTGACCAAACCCTCAACAACCACAATCCCTCCCTTTTGCCTTTGTAGTTGAACCGTATAGGCTTCAAATTTCTTTCAGTGATGGCTCATACGATATACACCTGATTTCGTAAAATACAAACCAGTCCAGTCATAAGAATGAGTGACTATATACACATGGTTCAATTCAGTGATTACAATCCCCCCCTATACCACCCCATCCCCTACCACCAAATAACACTAATAAGCAACCGTCACCAATGGCGTCGTCACCGGCGCTGCCGAAGACGCACACACGCACCCCGAACTAACAGAAGTAACCGGCGGCGCCGTACAATGCGCACTCGTCGTCCAAGAAACCGTCCCCGTAACCGTTGGCTCAACCTCACTATCCCCCACAATCTCCCCCCTCACCAGCACAGGAATCACCGCACCGGTCCTGAGCCCAAAAACCCTATGTCCAACGACCCTCAACAAACTCGCTATCTCCCCGGAATGACTCGTCACACTCACAAACACCCCATTCTCCTCCTCCCCACCAAACACATCATCCAACGCCCTCCTACTTCTCACATCCTGCGCCGCGCTCGTCTCCCCAGTCACTCCATTCCATAACTCATCGTCTTCAGCGAACCCCTTCTCGAAGGGCCATGTAGGGAAGACGGAATGGATGTGACTTGCGTTGTGGCGATGATCGCACGTATGAATGGATATACTCTCCCGGAAGAATTCCTTTATCTCTGGGATGAACGGAGTTCCCAAGGATAGGTCCGAGAATGTGATATTCGCTGTGCGTAGCGCCCGAAGCAGTGGGCTGACGAAGTAACTATCCGGTGTGTGGATGCGCTGCGCGCTTATCTGGGATTTCCAGAAGTCGTGCGCGATTTGCGCTTGTTGGATCCCTGTCGGGGTGAGGTCTGCGTCCAGCCAGGTGGTGGTTCCGTTGCCGGTTAGGAGGGACCAGTAGCACTAGGACATACGTACGTAGTTAGTTTGGGTGGGAGTGCGGGGAAGGAAGTGCGGGGGGAATGGTTTGTTAAGGGGGGGGGACTTACATTCCAAGCAGGCGTGCCGTAGTAATCTTCCGCGGCGTTGTGGTATCCTTCGCCGTGGCGGCCGAGGAAGAGGACTTTGTATGCGACGTTGGAGGGGGAGTTGTGGTTTAGGGAGAGGACTTGGTGGTAGAAGCGTTCCCATTGGGTCAGGTCCTGGTGGTGGCTGTGGGTGTTGTCGGAGGGGTAGGTGCGGTTGATGAGACCGAAGTTGGTGGTTGTCTAGTTAATGGTCCGGGAGGGAAAGGTTAGTGGGTTGTGGGGAGAGGGAATGGAAATGGAGGCAGGAGGATTATGTGTTATCTTACATAGTCGAAGGTGGATGCATCGGTGGAGTCCTCGTCTTGGAGGAAGTAGCCGGTCACGGTGGTGTAGTTGATGTAGGAGGCTTGCGCGGTGGCTGAGAGAGCCAGAGCGAGAGGTGTAAGACTGGAGAGCTTCATTGTGGGAAGATGTTCTCTGTAGAGGATTAAGTGCTTCCCGCTGTGGGATAGTAGAGCATCTGGTGCTAAGCACCGTTATATAGCCCAAGGTGGAGAGCCGACATGTCTGCTGCATGGATTGTTTGCCGATTAAGGCGTTATTGGCAGATGGCTCAAGGCCTACCAGCGCCGCACGTGCAAGGGTGGTCGGAGCAGCTAACCTGCTTGAGGACCAGCCAAGACATTCTACAAATTACTTGAGTCAAGAAAAGGTATGATTCCAGTGAATGCGAGACAGACAATGCTTTTCCAGTCATTGCCCATCCCCTATTAGTTGTATTACAGTATGTAGTAGTGGTGGTAATATGGCAGTAGATACGTGACCCAAACAGAGCCTCCAGTAAGTCCAAGAAATGAAAGAAAAGAAAAAGCAGCCGCTTCCCAAAGCCCACATGCTATATATCCAAAATAATATCCAAACATGTTCAAATCCCCAACCCTGAAAGGAACCAGATCGCAGACCGGGGTAGACGCCAAAAGAGAGACACCAACACGAATGCATAAGAACAACACAAGCCCTGGGATATATATAGGAGTCCCACGTGAAGCAACACTGAAATGCCAAGAAGAGCAGAGGTCCACTCTGGTATTAGAGACCACGGTCGAGAAGCCGGGAATCGTGAAGAAGGTAGAGGGTAGTTATATTACAAGCCCACCGAGAAACATTGACTGGCGAAAGGAATGGTACGTGCACAAATTAGATGGGTTGGTTGGTGCCGTGTGGCGCTCAAAAGTCGTTCGGTGTTTGATTGTTGAACGTATAGGCTTTAGGCTTCTGCGACGGAAGCTGCTGTGCAACAAATCGGTGAGCTTCCTGCTGCTCCGGGAACTCGTAGATGTGGAACTCCGTTTGCTTCGAATCCCCACAGAAAGCAGCCGACGTCGGCATGTCGACGTCACTCGTGTGATAAACGAGGGATGGAGACCCTGTCACAGGGACATGGTCAGCCCCCTGTTCCATCGCCTGCTCATACGACATCGTTGTCAGATCCGCCTGTGGAAGTTGACAGGGGCTCTGAAAGGATGCTTCAGGCGACGGCATTGACGTGGCATCAGTCCAGCTTCTGCCAGTCAAGGGAGCTTCGCAGGAGGCATAATCGGCAAATGACGTGTAATGGGCAGGGGCAGACATCGGAGGGGCAACACCCTGGTACGGGTAGGAAGAGAGCACATCCACGGCCAAAGGAGTCGCGGGAGGTGATGCAATGTTGATCTGCATCGGCTGTGTGGTAGGGAACAATTGGCTGGACGGTTGCGCCGACAGGCAGTAGCCACCATCGCTGGGAGTGGTCGGGAGCAGATGGTGCAGATCTTCCGGCGTCAAGGGTGTTGGTGGCGCCAACCCCCCTGTCGTAACCGCCGGTTGTAGCATGGACGACATGTCAGCCTTGGAGCCCAGAGCCCCGGCCTCTGCAAAAGTAGATAAATTGAGAGGTGAACGCTGAGCTGCAGACGCCTTCCTGACACCTGCATATCGAGAGTTTAGGCCCTGCGCGGACTTGGATTGCCTCACGGCATGGCCGTTGCCGTAGCTCGGGAGCCTCGTGGAGGGTGACATGGTGGACGATCCCGTCAACATGGAGGACGATCGCGAGGTGCCAATGGCAGCAGGCCTCGGGCGCTTTCTCCGGGCCGCAAGGTCAAGTTCCTTGCTGGGTTCCTTCCAGGATGAACGGTCGCCTTCATTCACAAGCTGCGAGCTGGGATGCGTGTTGATGCCAATCCCTTCCAATGTGTCGGCCAGCTCGTCAGAAGAGCCTCGCCTGGGCAATGACAGATCTTGTTGCAGAGGGTATTGCACACCATTGTAGGAAACCTCAGCATCACTGGCCGAACGGTAACCAGAAAGAGACTTTGACGTCTGAAGCGGGTGGGACCAGTCCTCGTTCTGGGAGGGGTGGAACTGTACGTTTTGCATTGAGTCGTGGCCGGCGTCATGTTGAGTGCCGTCCATGCCGGGAATCGTCAGCGACTCTCCCGACGTCACATACCCAAGAGCACCCTGAGAACTTTGAGACGTCCACGAGATGGCATTCTGTGAGAAAGAGCTGAGGTCACCCTGTCCATGTCTGCTGCTATCGTGGCTGCCGCAGCGGTTGTTGGAAAAGGTTGTAGTCGGCGACACTGACCCATCCATGCTGGGAGATTGGCTGTTTTCGCCGTCCTGGCCATACCGGTCACGAGCAGCAACAGCAGCATTCAACGCCCGTTGCAGGGAAGCAAAGGTAGCCTCCCGTGCCGACTCACTTCTGGTCTTCTGGTGCTTAGGCCGCGAGGACGAAGGAGCCGGCGTTTTTGTGCGCTCGGCGGTGTTCTCCACTGATTGTTTGGGGGTATCTTTATCGGTCTCATCTTTCGAGTCTTTGGCGTCCTCCTTCGAGTCTGAGCTCTCCGTGGACTCCGACTTGCCGCGAGCGGCTTCTTCGGCTTCCGCCTTGGCCTTCTGCATCTTCTCGAACTCCTCTTGTCTCTTTTGTTGCTTAGCCTTTGCTCGGCGATTCTGGAACCAATTCTGGATATACGTTAGTACACTGTATACCGAGTAGTCTGTGGACCAATGGATAACTTACAGCAACTCGTGGCAGACTCAGATTGGTTTGAGCCGCCAATTGACGCTTGACGTTGCTGCTGGGTTTGGGGTGCGCCTGAAATTGGGCCTCCAAGGTCTCAACTTGTTCCTTCGTCAACCTTGGGCGAGAGAGGTTCTCTGCATATTCTTCGTAGTCCATGATTGGCTGATGGTAGAAGTCGACCATGTCAAAAGGCGGGTGAGGGTAGAGGTAGCCATCCATTGGATGCATCATGGACGGGTGGGCCATCGTTGGGTCGAAGGCAACCGGCTGCTCCATGGGGACGGCGGCATGGCCAGTGAATGCGTAGGGATGGTGGAGGTAATTCATGTTGTGCGAGTCGGAGAATCAGGGTATATAGAGAGACAGGAGGAATAGTATAGGAATCGTTGGTGGAGTGTTGAGGTGAGGCGAAGTGTCAAGGTATTCAAGGTACAGGACCAGTTGCTGCCAACAAGCCGCAGCTGTGACGAGGCAACTCTATACCATTGAACGGTTGGATCGCAGAGAGAGAATATAGCTGGTCTCTACCAAGCCAGGAGGAGGGGAAGGCGGGAAGATAAGGACTTGAAGCAGGAGGGAGAGGAAAAGGGAGGGCGGCGGCGGGTGGTAGGGAATGACGGGACTGAAGTAGGCGGGCAAGCTGTCTGGGGTGTATACTTGCAGCCAAGTGGAGTTATAAAGGAAATCCGATGTAGTAATGAGAGAGTATGAGAGGTTGAAACCAGAGAGAGAGATCTGGAGAGTAATTAAAAAAGAGAGAGAGGAGGGGAACGAAGAGGAGGATCAAGGAAGGTATAAGTCCGATGAAGACAAGGTCGAATAGGACAGCACAGAAAGGGAAAAAGAAGGAATGAGTTGGACTAAGCTGACAGGGAAAAAGCAAGAAAATAAAAATAAGAATAAAAAATTAAGAAATTCAGAATAATAAAAATAAATTCAAAAGGGAAATAGTAGAGGGAGCGACCAAAATGGAAAAGGAGAGTAGGAGGTGAAGGAGAGAATTGAGTGAGAGAAGACTGTAACGAGAGTAGGCAGAGAGTGAGTGTGAGTAAGTGAGAAAGAAAAAGGGAAAAGGACAAAAGGGAAAAAAGGGAAAAAATAAAAACAAAAAAAAAAGAGAGGACCCAGAAAGGATTGACAGTCAGTCCGTCAAGAAAGAGTAAACTAACACTAACTGGAGAAAAGAAAGAGCAGCAGAGGGTTTGGAGGGACTGGATTTCGGGGGGAGGGTGGGTGGTGCTGGCAGCTCGCTCATTGGCTGATGCTGGATGGGGAGAGATTGGCGGCGGCAGCCTGCCCGGCAAGAAGGTGTGGAGGGGGCCGCGCTGATTGGTGATCGCCGCCCGGAACTGGCTGGAGGAGGATTTGGCCTGGACACCTTTGGTATCAGGGCTGTATTTGCTCCGTACCGTCAGTTTGGGCGAACTCCCCGTGTCCCGCAGCGCTTCGGGCTTTCGTGTGAACGCTCACACAACTCTCCCCTCTGGCTTGTCGGCTACAGCACATCTCGGATTGGCTCTTCCGGGTTGTTCCTCTCGACTGTCACTTTCTGCTTGTCACTCTTTTCTTTTCTTTTTGATCATTTTATTTTTTTGGTTCCGTTCTCCTCTTCTTCCCCTCTGCAAAAACCCCTCTTTGTTAATTCACCCTTTATTCCTCTTCGTCACAGAAAAGCCCACGGCAGAAAACATACTACCAAAACTAGTAGGTACCTACCCATCCAGTACTAGACTCGTCTCGGGGAACCAAACCGTTACCAGGTACGGTATTAAACACCCAAGGCATCGACCACCCAAAAATATTGGCCGACGGAGTGGGTTTCCTGGTGCTTCCGCCCGAGCGGTTCTAGGGGGTGGCGGCCTGGGCTCTCACACTCTCGGCGGACTCTTGAGTACGTACTACTATCTTGGGAAGCTCACTAACTATCTAATTCACCTAAAAAAAACCACAAACTGAAATACTGTGTGGCTAGTGGTCTTGGAACCTGACCAGGGGCGGTAGTAGATAGATGTCATTGATGTTTCAAAAGAGTATACGAAGTTTTAGCTACTCGATATATGCCACACCTTATCTTAGTTGTAGGATCTTCTCAGTCCCGCCGCCTTCCACAAGCAATGAGGGGAGGGTGTAACTAAGAGGCGCGCGCGCTTACTTCGAAAAAAAAAGTAGTGCGGTGGCGGCGGTGACTGTTTCTCCTCCTCTGGCGTCACTGTGAAAGGACATGCCTGGAGTATGTACTCCATAGGATCATATGTAGGTCCGACGGGTCCGCAACGCATGCTGTACCTCAGAGTGAGCTCAGTTGCTTTTTTCCCTTATTATCGTCAGACCCGTCACGGTGGTACTGCTGTAAAATCCAAAAGTTCGCTGTTTACGTTCGTCGATGCTAGACAGTGGAAACTATTTCGTCACCTCGATTTACCCCATTTTTATTTTTCGATTTAATTTATTTTACTTTTCCAATTTTGTTCTTCTGCTTTTTCTCTGCTTTTCTCTTCAAAGTTCTAGTGTGATGGGATTTTTCCTTTCTTTTCCTCCTTCTGCAGCTTTGACCTGCACAATGATTAATTTTACTCTCACTTTGGAGGTATGTATACTCCTTAACAATGCTCGGCAATCATTATAAAAGTTTTGGTCCACCGTATGTACCAAGGGTGCCTTGAGGGACCACAATTCTTAGTAAGTGAAAAGTAAGAAGTGTAAGTAGGAGTAAGAGTAGAAACTAGAGGTGCGTGGCCTCCCATTGGTAGAAGCCGGTAAGCCACCCCCCTCTCATCCGCACAAAGCCCTCGTCGCTCATCCCCAATGCCAGCGCTTGCTATTTCCCACACAAACCAGACCTGAACCCGGGCAATGGCTTAAACGGCATGAATTTAAGCTCCAGTGACAACTTGGTTGACAGTCTCACATACTTTTCCACCATGAATTATGATTCCGAACAAAGCTGGGTAATGGCTGCGAGTTGAGTTGAACCCGGTCCCTGCTCCTACGGACTTTCGTCAGTTCCTGCATTAGCGCCACCAAAAGCATCCAAAGCCGATTTTAGCTCTTCCCAGGGGGAAGGTTCCTTCTGGGCAGATCCGAGCAACTCAATGACCCCGAGCGTGGCCCCCCAAGACACGCCGTCGGCAATAGTAGATTGCTGTTCACATCTCTTTCTTTTTTATTTTCTTCGGGGGTAGGGGAGAGGAGAGGAGAGGAGGGGGGGCGCCAATGGAGCGGGTTCTCCCACGCGGACGGAGTATCTAAGCTCTGCAACATCACGTCTTTCCCGACTGAGGAAAGCTTGCACTAGAATCTCTCTTTTCTTCACCCATGACCTTGACTCCCCGATCACGGCGGTCGGGGACCACGCCATCAGTGGGGCATGTTCGTTTGTAAAGGCGGCGTGAGAAAGTCAGCCATGAGATGGATCGCTGAGCCCACCGCCCACTTGGCCATCCATGTCTCACACTTCTGGTGGCAGGCCGGGGGATCGCATGGCCACATCCTACTGGGCCAGTCCGCGATCACGGGGTGATGGATGGGGAGGAAGAGCATCCAATGGCCATTCGAAGTTGCGTGGACGCCGACCAACGGATTAAGATTCACCGTACATATTCTGGATCCGGTTAGCGCCAGCGGTCCGAAGATCCCCAGCTTCCGATTGATAGTCCGTTCTTCTTACCCGACGGTTCCAACGACTCTTCACCACTCCCACGGGACAGCTTTGTGATGCTCCAGTGGCCCGCCTGTGCGATAAGGGGATAAACCACGCAGTTCATCGATGTAGCATGGCACATTGGACAGAACTGGGGTTCATGGCCATGACGTGATCAAGTACTCCTGAGAGACCCTCTGATCCACACATACACACTCCCCCCACAGACTGGCAGGGCAATCAGCGCATCCGACCATCACAATTGGTACTTTGCTCTCTCTCCTCAGGGTGTGCCAGAACAAAGAGAGGTGAAGCGGGGAAGAAGCTCCGGCCAGCCGAAAGGAAAGTCAGTAAAGTCAGTAACTCAGTCAGTAACTCCGTCAGTCAGTCTTTGCCTTGACTTCGCTTTTCCCGCTCCATAATAGTCCTCATACCAGACGTGCCAGATGCACTGGCCTTTAATTCCCGTATGAATGGACACCGTCCCAGCAATTCAATTGGCACGGATCTCTGCAAAAAATGCCTGTCATGCTTTTCCCGCAAGGTCCTTGGAATTCACGGACTTGCGATTCGCCAATTGGTTAATTTTCCTTTCCTTTGATGATTATTTCTTTCCTTCAGCGAGAAAAAAAAAATAAATTAAAATTGAAGGGAAACTAAAAAAGAAAATGCCATCGGGATGGACATGAAAAGAGAGAGTGTGTGTGTGAGAGTGAGTGAGAGAACAGACCGCGCCGGCTGCAAAAGCGTGGCAGCAGCTCAGCCAAAGACCCACCAAAACCAATAGTCGACAGATCCTCGTCGATCCGCCTCAGGGATCTGTCGATTGTCGAACATCTCTCACCTTTCCTTTTTCTTCCAATGCTCTTGGGATTTGGCGATAGGCCTCCCTTCCTTCCTTCCTCTCTCCCCACTCTGAGCGCCCTACACGCGTGAGAACTTTCTGCGAAATCCGCCATTCGTCCGTTTGAATTTCTGGCTTCTGTCAAACCAGGCCATAATCGGCGCTAATCATGATTGTGGTCACAGACACTCGCTCACTCGCTCGCGCCCCCCCATCCCAAGTCACGAGATGACGCAGCAGTGATCTGCAATCTGCTCTCATGCAGCAGCAGAAGGACCGGGGGTCATTAATCTCATGTTAGGGGGGGATCTGGTCTGACGCTATCATATGCGCTTCCCACAGGTCTCGATGGGCAACGAGAACTGTTGAGCCGAAATACATATGCATGCACGCATGCATGGGTACAATTCTTTGGTTCATCTGTGAGTCTATTTCCTTCGTCCTCGCGACCGCCATGCGCCTGGCCCCATTCCGTCGACCGTCGGACGATGATGCTGGGCAGGGATGCCTCCAAGAAGAGTGCTCAGTCTGGCGGGGCCGAGAGCCTGACTACGACACACAGTGCGTTCCAGAGAAGTATCATCTGACTACAGCCCGTGGGGAATGATACGAAGTAACTGATAGTGGGAGGAGTAAGTAGTAGTTATCTGAGGCCCAAGTGGAACCAGATAGATAGGGGGGCGCGGGAGAGGGGCCAAAACAATGGGGTATTTTCCATACCGAATTTCGAGCGGTACTAAAGTACATACTAACCACTAACTACGTCGACACACTCCGCACACGGAGTAATTATACTGGGCCGTCAATGCTGAACTACGAAATATGGACTTTACCATGATTGAAGGGCAGGTACTCCATCCAGGTGCCAGGGTAACCGGGATTCCGTATCCAACCAAACACGAAAACGCCCCGGGTCTCTCGGGTTCACGTGTATGTATGCAGCACAGCACCTTAAAAAACAGCTTAAGCACAGCGTACTGGGAACACCTTGCCACAGCTGTCCATTCAAACAGCAATGGCCCTGCAACAGATGGGTTCATGTCGCGTAACCTGACAACCCCTCAAACAAGCTCAGACCAATCAGCACAGGCGTATCCTGGCGCGGACTCACGTCTCAGAGCTTGAGAACAGTCTTGGGCGTGCAACATGGTTCCCTTCTCAGAACAAGAATGAGGATCTGACTATCTGTCTAGCCTGAGCTGGCTCCCTGTGAGGATCCACCACCACTCCCACCACCACTCCCACCACCACCCGCACGGATCGCTTCCACAGCGATCCTCATAGGCGGATTGGATCTCACAGAGGGCCGTTGTCGCCCGAATGATGGAGGTCTCAAATATTGGACCCTGGGAAGGGAAAACAAGCAAATACAAGGGAAGGAAGCGAACGAAAGGAAAAGAAGAGGAAGAAAAAAGCAAGAAAAATCCCCGATGATCCTCGGTGCATGGGAGTGATGGTCTGTGATACCTGAGTGGATGGGTGGATGGGTTTGTGGATGAGATGGTAGTCTACACTCTGAAAGTGGAAGTCAGTGATGACTTCCCGGCCCCCAATCCTCCCCTGAAACTGGAAGCCTCACTGAACATCCTAACCTGAAGTATACTTAGATGCTGATCAGGCTGGTCAGTGGGAGCCGAGCTGCTGGACCGGGGCCCCGATCCGCAATAGCATGGGATCCCCTGTCTGGGTATAAGGTTGACTTGGCACTGGGGGATCCTCCCCTATTGACGGCCGGTCGCCTGTCCGTAAGGAAAAACTTCCCTGCTTACATACAATCCGAACTCCATCTGCCCAGCCCCCTGGGTCTGATCATTCCGTGGCAGCTACCCTCCGCTTGTCACATCTGGCCGGGATACTGTCTAGTGTGACAATCATCACCCGCCATGGATCGCATCGTTACTAGCAGGGGAGGGAGGGGAATGGGATTGTATTGCTCACTCCAACTTGCCATGCACTGGCTCGAGCTTAGTGCGATTGGAACCCAGCATGGCCATGCATAAGTGGATATGTGGACCTACCTGAGCGTCACTTGCCATGGCTTTTCTTTTCCCCCCTCCGTAGTAGTGCCTTCTGCCTCATCACTCACTAGCTTTACTCCGGCCACGCCGTGCTGAAGGCGACATTCAGCTGCGACACTCGACGCCACAGAGCTGAATCTGTGGCGGTGCGTTCTCAGGCGTCAGCCACATGTAGATCACTGGACTAGTGAGGGCCTCAGGCCTTGGGGGATCTTCCTGCTAGTCAGTTAGTATGTATCACCGTCCAGTCTTTAGGCGTTCTCCGAATAGCGTGACTGTCAGCACCAGAACTTTGCAGACTTGAATCAAGATGACTGCCTCTGGGTGGACGGAACCTATGAAGCTTCACCGCGATTTGTCATGGCATAACAATAGCCTCTTCGATCGATAGGATCTCAGCGAAACCGCCACACGGCACTTCTTCGATCTGCCTGCCTATTCTCCATCCTAATCTTGTTTAACTCTGTGATTGTACCACCGTGCTCAACGCTCAGGGCGGCTAACTTCCCTGACGACTCCGTCATCGTGTTCCAGGTTCCCAGGTTCGAACCAGGGCTGATGGGGTGTGACGAGTTGGGTTGCTGTACAAGAGATCACATCGCTGTTGCCTGAGCTGCAGCAACGGTGAATGATTCTCGTCACGAGTGGGCTTTAGTTGACTGGCTGATCCACTTCCCTTCTCATCTTGCCGTCTGATAATCACATCGTTTGGCTTCTCATTGACTAACGATACAGTGTAATACCCATAAGCACCTCAAACCAAAGACTCCTCTTTCTAACTAAAAGGGCAAGAAGGGGGGGAAAAGGTAAAAAAGAAAGAACCAAAAAAGAAGAAGAGAGGTGACTCCACCATCTCCATCACAGCACACTCCCGGAAGGCCTACCACATCCCTTGCATAGGGCGTCAGACGCAGCTTGAGGGAGAGGAGGGGAGAAGGAGATGGGCTAGATGCACCTCGCTGGGCCACGGACGAGCTCAATTCGATCTCCGGCGCCAAACCAGCAGGGATCGCGCCGATCGAAGTTCGCCGTCGTCAAGTCGACCCATCTCTTTTCCAGAACCTGATCGCCCCCTTCTCTCAACGAGGCGATCCTCTTCGGGTCTGCGATGTGCAACCGATTCCCGCCACTATTGCGAGTTTTCTTTTTCGTTCCCTTCCCCCTGGAATCTGCAATTGTGCTGCTGGCTCGTGTCCTCCGAACGGGCAGCCGCCGCTGGGTGGCCCCTACTATTGTACAGGATGTATGCACATAGGGGATGCCGTCCTTTTGGCACAATCGGTTTGTTTCGCGTTGTTTCGCCACGTCTCATCCTCTCACACACACATTTCTCTCTCTCAGATCATCGTTTGGACCGTGTGTTTCGGCCGCCTACGTATTCTCAAAAAATTTAGGTGCAGTCGTAATGTTCGGGAGTTCCTAAGTATAACCACTGCAGCAGCCACTATGCAATAAGTCCCAGCTCTGCTATGACCACTTCGCGTTACCTACTCAGGTACTACTGGTCTGTCTGCCTACTTACCTATTCCTCCGTCCCGCGCGACGGGACCCAGAATCCCGGAAGTAAAAAGGAAGGAAAGGAAAAAGAAAAGTGGGAAGAGACAGACCTACTTCCAGCAACCTCAATCGGTTCGGGAGGAAAGGAACACTCAAAACTTGTCGGTGAGAGAGCAAACCAGGTCGGTGACCACCAACCCACCGCGCGCAGCCGTTTAACTTAATCTTCTGATATATTGCGCTCGGCTTTCCGAAAATGCCTCAGCAGATGGG